TCATATAGAGACGTCACTATATACCGGTGAAGGGCTTCAAATTAAGACCTTTACTCGGCACTCAGGGCCATTGAGCAGTGAGGGTTCTTTATCGTGCCAAAGCCTACCGTGACACGGGGCCCGTTTTTAAGGTCTCATCCGAAGAACCCGTAACTTTCACTTCAATGTGCCGAGCGCTTGGCGAAGGAACAGTTGCTACCTATTTTTTATCTTATTTTTATCTTTTGACTTAGGTCGGCTGTAGATTAACTTCAGTTTATTACAGTTAACTTTAAAAACTTATAAATAAATAAATTGATACTTTGATTCACTATGAATTTTACTCGAAAAATTCTTTTAAAATTTAATGCCTCGATGTCTCTTTTAAAAATGCATAGCAATGGTGTGAACTTTGGTAATAATATGTCAATATACAAGTAAAATATTTCTGTTTAATATAAAAAAAATTGCATGTAAGAAAATTAAATATAAAAATTCAAAAATTTATAGTAAAAAGTACTTTGATTAACCATAGTAAAAACTTCGATTTACTGGTGAAAACTTTGATGATAAAGTTAACTTTATATTAAACTATAGTTTATTATGTATTTTTTAAGGGATATTTGGATGTTTTACTGACTAGATTTATAGTGACATTTTGCAAATTTTAACCTATCTTTGGGTTGTATTTTGTCTGACTTGTCTCATACCAACTGTTAGGTAATTTTTGATACTAAATTTGACTACAGTTAACTCTGTCTACTTGATCAATATGTAGGGCTCACGATGGGTGGGACCGATCGATAGGGGATGCTTACTTCTCTTTGGTACCTGATCCCATCCCCTGAGGTTTCTAGGGGTCCTGTTCACAGATTTGTAATGCTTGTAGATTGTCTTAGATCGTTCACTCTTCGTTATCTTCTTCACCTTTTTCATTGCATTCTTAGTCCAAAGTTTCTAAGTATCATAGGGAAAAATATAAAAGGATTTAGTCATATCCATTACATCTTTATCTAAAAAAACAGATTGGTTAAGCTAAAAAGTGAGAAGAAATGGGAAATAATACTAAATCTACATGTTAAACAAGATTGGTAGGAACAAAGTGAACATTTTTTAATAATGTTTTTTTTTATTAATGTTTCTTCTTATTTTTCAAGATAACGAAAGACATACACTTAATCTGGTTCCAATACTGCACTGTGAACATAATTTTTAGAGTCAATATTTATTAATCTAAAATAAACTTATCAGACTCAGCAATGTGCACCATTTGTAATGTACATTCAAAATCTATAACACATTTATTTTGGGAATGTATATCTGTTAAAGAACTATGTGATAAAGTGATTGACTGCATCAATACAGAACACAACTTTTGTTATCAGTAAGATTGAAGTACCTTTTGATATACTAGTATGTATTAATATTGATTATTAAAAAGTACATATTCAAAAAACGTATTTCAATTTGAAAGCTATTACCAGTCCTTGAAGGGGCTACAAGAGAGATGTTGTATTATAGAAAAATTCAGAAATTCATGGATGAAAAAATGGAAACATACAAGGCTATACAAAGGGATGGGGAACTTTTTTTATTATTGGAATAAAAATTTAAACTTTTTTCTTGCACATGTACATGGCATTTTAATGTCGTGATTTCTTTTATTTAAATAATAACATAAATTGTAAACAGGTAAGAGTATACATGTACATGTACATGTATATGAGTGTGTGGGAACAAGTTTTCAAAATGTCACATGTCGCACAATTTAAAAGTAAAATATTAATCGCATTTAAAGTTTTTGTCGAATCCAGGCTCCGGGGCCATAAAACTTAGACGAGCTCACTTTTGATCTCAGTCTCACTTTTACCAAAGGAATTAATAGAAGAAAATTGAGACTGAGAAAAATGTGAGCTCATCTAGGTTTTATAACCCCGGAGCCAGGGCTCCAACCTTGGCATCAAACTAAATTATACTTTATGGGACAATTTAAAAAAAAGACTTAGATGTACGTCGTTGAGTAAGTTGGAATCTTTGTGAAATTTCTATGTCGAAATTTGTATCATTTGAATTTAGTATAACACTCACTTCTTTTCTGGAAGAGGAACAAGCAACGATATATTGAGAACAAAATAATATCTAGAGTTTTACTTTTCCAGAAATGGTTTGAATGTAATATTTTTATGGGAAAAGATACAATCTAAAATGTCTGCAAAAACCATTTAGCTTATCCTTGAAAAAATAATGGTTTTATTTTGACAACGTGTACTACCTCAAATGAAATAGGTGGAGATAACGAACAGTATTCAAGCTCAAAAGTCCATTAAACAGTACAAAATAGGAGCAGAGCAAACACGGATCCCAAGCATCAGAGGTTGGATCAGGTGCCATGGAGGAGTGAGCATCCCCTGCCGACCGGTCACACCCGCCGTGTGCTCCTTGTCATGATCGGGAAATAACGGAAAAATCCGTCGACAATTCAGTGTGTAAATAATGGCCTAACAATTAGTATGAAAAACGTCTGTCAGCATTTGACTCAATGATAAATTGTATTTGCTGACAAGGTCATTGTATCGACCATAGAACTTACGAAATGATCATGATGACTTTAAACGAGACAGCTGATATTCTTGTTTCATCAACTTATTTGTCAATAATTTACCTCGTTTTAGAAATTGTCAAACTCTCAAACTAATTCACTATGTTACTTCAAAATGTCACTTAATTCGCTGCTATGGATGTATAATGCATACGTTTTTTGGCAGGAGATGAAGAATGCAATTTTTATCTAAAACTCAAAGTCCTTAACACCTCTTCACACCCAGTTATAATTTTATATCGCATCTGAGAAATCTGCGATAGCTGAAAGGAAGAAAGACTGCTTTTTCATTGGTCATTTTCATTAATTATTACAGATGTTTAATCAGTGCGATATACTTTGCATGGTTCTAAACCTTTTACTAATTAGATTCAGGATGCTAAGTGAAGGACGCTTTTTTCAATCTTAAGGTCAAAATTTAAAATTAAAATATCATTGCACAATTATATGTGATGTAATTTGTAACTTTTATACTTGTTTTACTTCGTGGTCGTCAAACTTCATGGAGTTGAAGACTCCTATCGTTTTTGGAGTCACTTAGTCAAATAGACCAAAGCTCGGTTTCTTTTACATGACCATTTTGATCCAAATTCTTGGACAATAAACGATAAACTTTAAATTCAGTTAAGGGAAAAAGATTTATAGATTTTTGGATCATTTTGTTAAAGATAAAAGTCAAAGGTTGAGATGAAATAAGTGAAGATAACGAACAAATTTTGTAAAATAACAGAAAGGAAGGGGTATTCATGCTGCATACAAAAGAATAATTTCTCTTCTCCAATTGCAGGAAATGAAGCTGAAAAATTTCCAGCACAACTGTTCATCACTATCTAATTAAAAAAAGTTTGAAGTCATTCATGACTACATTTGTCGACCTCGTCCATATGAGAGAAAAATTCTCGAGAGGAAGGTACTCTAACTTCCTAAATCAGGGATGTGCCTGTCAAAATAATAAACAAATCCATGTAATAAACAAGTTTTAATGAGCTTCTGTCAAAGTTGCACACACTGCCATAAAATTCAATGATTTTTAAAATATTTACAAATCAAGGAGGCAGAAATATGAAACAGACTTTAAAAAGATTCAATAAATAAAGGAAACTAAACAGAATTTTTAGGCATTTTTGACAGAAAAATTGAATGACATACATTTTTTATAAATATTAAGATTGGCAGATTATTTCATAAATGCTTTGATACTCGTCTGTTTTAAATATTACAAAAGATTAAATACATAAATGGAAAAATAGTGTATGGATCAAAAATACATTTCAGATTTTGATTCACTATATAAACAATAAAGAAAGAAAATAATAAAGAAAAATCATACAATTTGGTAAATTCAGCTACAAGTAAAACTTGGCTACGAATTGATCTGTATATATTAGAAATGTCTTATTATTTACACAATCATTTAACATTGTTTAAGCAAATTAGAATGGTAAAATGCCATCTAATTATCTTCTTGATCATTGCTGCTAAAGCCAGGATACTTCTAAGTGGGGTGATAAAAATAAATTATCAAGTTGTCTGTTCTATAAATATTCAGTAGATTTCTCTGACAATATTTCATAACAGGCTTCTATGTCTGAAATTTTTTTTTAACATGCGAAAATTTCTTAAGTACATGTCTGAATAGCAGGATGATAATGCAAGTGTAAAAAAAATGTCAAATCAATTTTAAAATCTTTGTTCAACCCATTTTCTATTGTAAGAAGTTTCGTAAATATTTAACAATGATCCACCACTCATTCACTTGATAATCAATTAATGGGTATGAGTTAACTGAAACGAATGTGTTAATAATATTAAAAATATATTTATCGAAAAAGGTTAAAATTTCATTACAAATTGAATAATGGTACAAGACCAAACATACTTCCTGGTAATTTCATGTGAGCATATGAAATTCAAATGAAGTTAATGTGAAAATTACACTTAAAATTCGAACTTCAAATCAAATTAATGTGAAAAATATCACTTGAATTTCAGGAAAGTGCTATCACAGGAAATTCTCTCATAAAAAATTACTGATGATTCTCAATTTGTCTCTTTTCACATATAAAATTTCAAGACAAATTAAAGTAAAGTTCTACTGCCTGTGGTGTTTTACAATCCGGTACAATTAAGTCATTCGTTGCAGTTCTGTTGTAAAACTCAATAAAGATGAGCTCAAAAGAATATAATCTCAGTACATAATGATCAAAAATATCATTTCTTACATATTTGCAAATTTTTGGAGTATATTGTGCTATAATCTCAAAATTGACTTATCAATTATTTATAACAGCAAACAGTAACAATATTCCATTGTGTCAATTGAAATCATAAACAACAAAAAGAAGAAAAAAAAACTATCTTAAATAACATTATAATTAAACAACAGAACTGAAACATCAAGTCAAACATCATGAACAACAGAACTAAAAATCTGAAACCCAAATCTAAGATCTGAAATAATCTTTTATGAATATTTTTTTTTTAATTTGCATAAATATGAAGTCAGATTGTCAGTTTGACTGATTTACATAAATAATGCAGAATATTAATTAATAAGTGTACCTAATCATGCAAAATTATTAAAATATTAATCACACTGAACATTATCAATTGCACTGAAAAAAAATAAAAGTAACAAAATAAGCTGGGAAAGAGATTCATGCTTTAACAAGCAGAACAAAAATTCCATTGCTATAAAGTATATGAGATGATAATTTTTTTTTGGTGGTCTTTTTGGTGGTCGTGTCTTATATTTTCAGGCAGGATATTTAAATGAAAATTAAAAACAACAAATTAAAAATGTTCGCATTGTTCAAAAAAGATAAATGCTAAGTCATATCACATTGTATGAGATATGTAGTGAGCTCTCTAATGTTACAAAAGATTCATTTACAACAGTATTTTAAGCTAGAATCTGTAGCGAGTATGAACTTGTATCTACAAAGGATACAGGTTCATTCTGAAAATATCTCGTAAGTACAAGCTAAACACACAACTGGTAAATTCTACTTAAATTTACTAAAGAGAGGTGGGAAAATGAAAGATGATTCCACATGTACATCATCATAGTATGAAACAACCAATCAGAAATAAGATGAAGTAAACCTGTCCATGCAGTCAATGGTAACAAAGTGTGTTTTTGAAATACAACACAAAATTACAATGACAAATCTCTCCTAATATCCGACTGTTAATCGAGCAGAATTTGCAGAACTACACGAAAAGAAATAAAATGATAATATTCAGTGGAATTCTTGGACAAAATTGTATAAAAATCAACATGATATGTAGTATGGTCATGGCTTACATCGTAATGTATACAACATCTGTTTTTTAGTGCATTGTCATCCTCCAGTAGAGCTTGGAATATTTCAAAGCATAAATCATTTTTCAGCATGACTTTAAGTAGTTAAGAATGTCACTGAGGGAGTCAGTAAGATTCCAGTTTTCCCCCAAGAGCTAGCCTATTTCCTGAGGCGATGTATTTTATCAACTATATTCAATAATACATTTTGACTGTTCAATTATACCAATACTAAAATTAGACCAGTTACCCCATAACTCAAAATTGCAATTGTATTCCAAAAGGAAATGTCAGTATTTTTTGTGATAAAAATACATTCTCTTTTAAGACTTTTACCAATATCGGACAAATGTTATATTGCAAAAAACATTCTTTTTCATTAAAACACAATTTTTACTCTGAAAAGCTTATGTATTCCACCTCTCAAATTTTACCACTATGACATCACAATGACATGCTACTCATTTTCCATACCAATCAGGCCCCACCTACTTGAATGTAACTTTAACTGTGTTGCATAATGAATATTCATAATTTTATTTGGAACATATCAGAACTTTTCATTAGATTAAAAGAAACTGCTAGGTGTTCTAAATAGTTCATCAAACTGATGCACCTTTTTGTAGGTAATCAGTTTTCTTACAGTGATTTTAAGGAAATCGGGAAAATATATCAATTCAATCTTAGGTAGTGAAAAATCTGTAGAGGTATAACCATAAAAAATATAACTTACATGTTTTGTCAAAAATTCAATACTTTCCTACATAACGTGACTTCAGTAAGTTGTACAATTAAATTTACACATCATCTTGGTGTATATTTCATACTCCACATTACAATAAATTCTAGGAAATTGATTTAAAAAGCTATTTTGATATTTATCCTTGTGTACCTTAAATAAAATGTTTCAGAGTCAAAATTTGCAGCAGAATTCAGAATCAATGAGTAGACAATTTCAATTCTACCCAGCATTCAAAAATTGCAATTTCCTTTCAGCTCTGCAAGCAAGATTAAAATGACTGCACAAGTTCTGTGGGAAAAGAAAACACTTTCCCTTGCCCCATTCTCATGAAGTATCCCACTGACAAATAACAATGCACCAAAAAAACCCATCAGAAGTTGCGATACAGCATCCTGCACTTCCCATATAAGTCTTTTAAGGCATCATGGGAGAAAAGAATGACAAAACAGATATAAAACCTCTCATAAGGCATTCCCTCAGTCCAGTAGGTTCCCAGGTCTCTTTGGCTACTCTAGCTGGATTGACACAATTCTTTAATTAAAATACAGACACTAAGATGGTCTATGAATCCATTTAAAAAATGATGCTTTTTCTTTGTTTTATGCCCTTCTAAGAGATTTAAAACACATTGAAGCGAAGGAATCCTTAGTTAGATATCACAGTCTTGTAGCCAATTTGCTCAACAAAAATGAAAATATTTGATTAATTAATAACTGCCTACCTATACCTTGAAAAAATACAGATTTATAAGATACTACAAATAATATACATGCCAAACCAAAACATGTTCTGGTTGGACAAATCATAAATAAATGAAAAAAATAATTTCATATTTTGATGAGCAAATGTTCACATCTTTTGTAATTTATTTTTTCCCCTAGGCCTGAGATTCTACACGATATTTCTCCCCTGATCCAGTGTCTTTTTTCCAGAATTTCATTTTACTCATCTTGGCTTTCATTTCACTTGGGCGATGCTGAAAAAAAGAAATTAAAAAAGTGTAAACAAGGTGCCAGTAGGCAGTATTCCCTGGAACAATGTATTCCTAGTTTTGTATATCTAGGGAATAAACATGCAGCATGATGGCAGTTGATCTACCAGTTTTAACATTTTTCAAGGCTTTGTATACTTTTAAAGCAGTCCTGAATCAGTCCTGATTCAGCTACAGAGAATTATAACCAATGACAACATAGAAATTCAGTAAGTCCAGTATACTTGTTTTATGCCATCAAATATGCTTTTTCAGCACCTAACAATTTATAGCCCTCATTACTCATGAAATGTTTAGCTTTTTCAGAACTAGAGTTGATGTTACCATTTTAGATAAAGAGTTTTATAAATCAGATACTCACATTTATCATCCATTGACCTGAGGCTGATGTGGGATGAGTGTAAGCATAGAAAAACCAGCCTCCAATTCCTACCACTAACGCCACAAGTATAATCACCGCAACCACCACGCCAGCTATTGTGGCACTGTCACTACCTGTGCAAAGAGCATGTATAAGATCTCTGTCAAACAATACTGGGATAGTGTGGCAACATTAATAAACAGATGATCTATATCAAAATCATTTCTGTCATAACAACATAGGATAATGTGAAAATGCTGGTTATGTATTAATATTTTTTTTTACATTTACCAATGTCTTTCCTTATATGACAATACTAAAGAAATTGGCATTCAATTTTTCGATGACATGAAGTTGGTCACATGATCAGAATTTCATGCATATGGAAAGCAAACCATACACTGTGATGTCACATGATGTCTTACACGTATGTTACTTTGCATTTCCATAACCAAGTCTAAAAAGTGAATTTTTTCATTGTAACATGAATAAAAAATATAAATATAAGAAATAAAATATCATTTTTAGTATATTAAATGGGATATGACATGAAGTTGGTACATGGTCAAACCTACTTTAATGCCCTGTAAGCATTATAGGATTTGATCACATGACCAACTTCATGTTATATCCCAATGAAACTCTAAAAATGATATTTTATTTCTTAAATAGACAGTAAATATCAGCTGTCACTACTACACTGTGTAATATGGCACTATCAATACTTGTTAATAGATGATGAAGGTATCACAGTGACTCTAGATAAGGTAGCAATGTTGATACTTAAAGACAGTAAATATCAGTATTTATCAACATAGTTACCACCACACTGGGTACTGTGGCACTTTTGATATTTATCTCTGTTTTTAGTACATAGCTTTCTGTCTATCTATAATTATACTTACTTTTCTGGGCTCCTTTGTAAGAACAGTTACTCCTGCTGGACTGAAAATGTAAAAAAGAAAAATCACATTAAACTAGAAGTATTTTTCAAGTGAAGTAACTTATTCTGTCCATTTCCTTTTTACTCTTTTTATTTTATTTGATTTATTTGATATAAATTTTAATTTTTTCTTAATTTTAATTCTTATTTATTTATTTATTTTATTCTTTTTTTTCAATAAAGAAATTGTTTAAAATGAAGTATAAAGCTTTAAATTTCAGATTTTATAGGACAATATATAATCCTCTTGTTGCATAACAATTTTCATACTTTGTCATATAAGTCATGTTAATCAAATACATGTTACATATAATGAAATATTGAATGTTTAATTATTTGTGCAAGAGATAGGGTGCTAGAGAGAGATCAGGTAAGCTGGGAAATCACTTCTTTCTATGCCTTTCTCTCTAGTCAGAGACTTTAATTACCAAGCATACTGTTCTATTCCAGTTCTACATGAACCTAATCTATGTATTTTTCCCTATATGAGATAACATTATCAAGAATGCAGTATACTGAGGATTTATCATTGTTCATGGGGGACCAATGTTCATGGATTTCATAATTTTGTAAACATATTTACTTATTGAATATTCTATATATACCAGTTACCAACAATATTACATCCCAACGCACCAAAAAAGTTTTCTTGCCTTATAGCCACGAACATTGACACCTCACAAATTGAAATGATTCTCCAGTAATTGGTCTGAAAAGGTTTAGATGTCATTACATGGAAAATGTCAAGAAGTATTTTTTTTAAAGTTTTAAAGATAGCTGTCAAATAACTTTTAAAATATAAATCTGGATATTGGATACAATGCAATTGTATTTGTTATGAAAGCTGGTTTTCCTTATTTCATGCAACTTTGAGACTTATTTGAGAGAATTATGCAATAAGTTTATCAAATATAAATTTTGGAGATAGAATACAGAGCAGACACCTATGCTACAACAGAGAGTATATGTTCTGATTTTATTCCATTATTGATGTGTGTCACGATGAAAAATTCAATCTTGGGCCCCATCATAGTTCCTCCCATAAAAAAATCATTCCTTAGAGATATAAATTGCACACATATTAGATGCAATTTATAGTGATTATGCTTTGATTATAAAAACTTAATATGTAAAGGCTGTCATAATCTTTAGCCACAATGTAAAATGGTTTTCCTCAAACAACTACGCCATGCAAATAAAAACCTCTTCACATTGTCATAAAAATTTTGTGTATTTCAAAAAATGATAACTAATATTTTTCATTCTTAAATTTGTAAAGTCTGCTCTTCTAAACAACATATCCATCATTTTGCACAGCATGCAGCCTTTACTTATAAAAACTTATTAGATTTGAGGGCTACTGTTTGATAGATTTGAGGGCTACTGTTTGATAGATTTGAGGATTTGAGGGCTACTGTTTGATAGATTTGAGGGCTACTGTTTGATAGATTTGAGGGCCACCATTTGATAGACTAGGGAGAAGAATTTAAATATATATTCACCAATTACAAAAGATATGTTTAAATGATTAAAACACTTTATCAATCTAGATATTTGCTTAAAACACAAGTGTTTGGATTAATAAGTATTGACTGTATATATGCCATAAATATGTATAATATGGGATATTAAATTTAAGCAAGAAGTAAACTTTAGTTACTAGGCTATTATATTTGTATTTTTTTTTTTACATGCATGTACATGCCTTTAAAAAATACCATACAGTGCAAGGTTATAATTAATAAATTAAAAAAAAAATTAAATTATGTTCATGATATTTAGCAACTCTTGTTTTGTTTGTAGATACATTGTACATACTTTAAAGTGCAAACAGATTCCACATTGCAGTGGAAACATGCCTTTAATTCATCTAATACATGATAAATTTGATTTTTCCACTCAAAATCAATATAAATATGTATAAATATATATCTATCTCGTCAAAAGTTAAAGAGTTGCCAAGTGTTAATTAATGTGATAAGTGATATCCAAACACCAAGGAGGGGTGAAAAAAATGACATCAAACATGACGCCAGGACTCTAAAACTGTCTGCATTTTACAAAACTTTCCAGATTTTTTTTTTAATTTCTAAGCGATTTTTTAAAATCACTGATCAATGTCCCCTTGTTTTTATGTCTAAAAAGATTACAGAATCATATAAACTAAAAAAAAAAATCCATCACTATAGAGCTTGATTGTGAAAAATATCTTCATAATAACATATATCTCTCAATTTTCTGACATTCTCTCTCTCTTCCTTTCTCTCTCTCTATCTTTCTCAACATTTGAATATGACTGACATTAAGTAATCATGTGTAGGAAATGCCACAAATTATTTTTTTGACCGGTGGTGTAGTATTATTTGTTTCTCTTTTGACAAAGACAGAATCAGTATATTAATTTGCATGCTAAAATCATACAAATTTTTTATATTAGCTTTGAAACAGAGAAAAAAACTGACAAGACAAGGATGGGTTCATGCTGAAATAGGGCAAATGGTTATTATAACACACAAAACTGAATTCAAAAATTAAATAACTATTTTAGATTTTGAATCAAAAATTAACTCTTTAAAAATATATTGATTTACAACCTTAAAAATATAGTAGAATATGGGTATCTGTTGAATACTAATAGTGAAGCAGTCATAGGATGGTCCCAATAGTATTGTACAATTATATAATTCAGGTTATCAACTACGAGACAGTATATAGTATCTGAAAAACCTGAAATTTCCCATTTTGGCCAGATTTTCAGTTATTTTTACGGAGGCATAACTTTAGATACTGCTGATTTTGAACATCTTCCAATAAATAATAGGAAAAAAAATTAGCTTTAGAGTCCCAGCTTTGAAATAAATTAATCAAAATGCTTTTAAGTTTGACTTAATTATATTCAAGAAGTATTTTCGCAGATATTCTCTGGGTAAACCTTACTTAAATTTTATAGGTAATTGTATGATTCATTTAGTTATCAATAAATAGTCAATTAAGCAGCTGATTTTTAAAGCATCCCCATTTCCTCGTGTCTCCCTAATGCAAGTATGTCACATTGACATCCCCTCTCTTCTTTAATCAGATCAAATTTTTGATTATTATGTTTTGCTTAGTATGACTCTGATTTCTTCATTTGTTTTCTTTATACATTATATTCTGGTCACCAAAGCAAAAATCCTTCTTTGAAATAGATATACAGCTGAACTTTGCTATCTCAAACATCAATATCTCAAATGCCATGGATACATCAAACTAATCTGATGGTTCCAACCACTCTTTCTTTCTGTATTTTCAGCTCAATATCTTGAATCTTTGGATATCTTGAAGTTTCCGGGGTTCAAGATAACAAGGTTTCACTGTATGTCTCAGAAGCTATGGACTATTTCAATGACATTAGTGTTTGTCCTTTCAAATTACAATATTCCTTTTTAGCAAGCACTAAATTTGTCTGGGCAAGTCAAACCTAAAAGCATAATGATTTACTACAATGAAACTTTATTATATCATTATGAAGAAAAACACAAACAAAAAAAAAACAACATTCTGCTGACTATACCCCTGGCATGCATCCATCCCCATTCTTCTGAGGAGCAACCAATGTTGATTGTGGTACAGGTGTACTTGTGGTGGGTACAGGTGTACTTGTGGTGGGTTTAGGTGTACTTGTGGTGGGTACAGGTGTACTTGTGGTGGGTACAGGTGTACTTGTGGTGGGTTTAGGTGTACTTGTGGTGGGTACAGGTGTACTTGTGATGGTAGGTTTAGGTGTATTTGTGGTGGGTTTAGGTGTACTTGCGAGTTTTGCTGTACTGTTGGGTTTAAGTGTACTTGTGGTGTTGGGTTTAAATGTACTGAGTTTAGGTATACTTGTGGTAGGTTTAAGTGTACTTATTGAAGGTTTAGGTGCCATGGTAGTTGTGTTAGATTTTGTTGGTATGTCTGTTTGTGATTTGGTTGTAGGTGATTCTGTTGTAGGTGGAGCGCACTTAGCTGGGTTGTCGAATGCCTGGTAAAGTCAAAGAATTGCTTAGTTAAAGCAAGACAACCAATACTCACTCAAATATTCTCATACTCACACCAAACAAATATCTAAACAAATTTTCTACAATATCCACAATAAATCCCTATGCGTAAATATCAATGTTCCTGTATTTGATATGGAACAAAAGGGGATATGGATGTAACAGGAAAGAGAAAGGGGAAAGATACTTGTGATTGCTAGAGAGAGAGATCACAGAGAGAGAGAGAAAGAGAGAGAGCACCTGAATCGAGTATAATAGGTCCCATTGAAAAGGCATGAAATGAAATTTGTTGCAAAAATAAGAATTTAAGATAAACTTCAATTTCAGACATAAAAATATACTTTGAATTAATTATAATTTCAAGAGAGTTACTGTTCTTACTTGAGGGATGGACCTTTTTTGTATTCTTCCAAGTCAACTTGTCTGAAAAGCTTTCTATACATATATTTTTTGTTGTAAATATTCATCTGCTATTAGGCTGATGTCCATCATGGTGGTATTTATCATGCTCCCTCCCTCTCTCTCTTTTTCCCCTTTTTTAGGGTATTGTTTTAAAATGAACATGAATAAGCCAAACATGATTTGATATTAATCATTTTTTATATTACATTTATAAAAGTACTTTTAAGATTTTCAATAATTTTCTCAAAAATTTCTTCACAAAATTGTAAAAAGGCTTTGTCTACAGAAACATAAAAATTGCCAACACCCAAACTTAATCAACTTGTTTTAAAAAATGTGAGAACTTTTAATGACACATGAACCCATCTCTTCTGTGCCTTAAAGAGTTAAGTAAAAAGCAAATATGCAACAGAAGACTAAACTAAAGCGAAAATAAAACCAAGAAAAGATCAGTTAATGTCCTCCAATCGAATGTCACTTTACCGAACAATCAGGCTGGATAATTGCTTTCTCTGAAGGTGTAGCTGAAGTCACAGTTGAATGGGTCATAGGTGAAAGGGTCGTAGGTGAAAGGTTACATCTACTAACCTTATCAAAGCCCTGATACACAGACAATTTCATATTGAGACCAAACAGAAGTATATTCAAAACATTTTAAATGGATCTTGAATGAATTTATCTTTCCTTAACCAAGTATTCCTGTTTCATATGAAATAAATATCTTCTATGAAAGTTTTAATTTTTTTTAACAGTTAAATTAAGACAAAGAAATAATGATGTCTCCCTCAAATTTAGGAAAACCCTGGGGATATATACTTCTTCAAAGTAGGTAAATTTTAATATATAGTACTACAAATGTTAATATAAATTTAAAAAATATATCTATGATGAATCTCTAAGATAGGCATTGTTACTAAATGCTTTTAATGAAAAAAAATCTTTTACTGAAGTGTAAAATGTATGAGATCAGTTACATAATGATTTGTTTCACAGGTTAGCAGTACTACGTAATATCTTCCTTCTTCAATTAAATGCCTATTTTGTGGAATAAAGAGTATGATGGGTTGATATTTCCCTTGGTACAATGGATTTTGTATATGTCCTTGACACTAATATACTCTTATTTTAGCTATACCATCATGCAGACACAATCAAACAATATCATATTGGATACAGCAAACATGTACATGCTACATAACAAGAAATAATACATGGATACAACCGAACTAGGAATAAATATCTAAAACATGTGGTATGTTTCATATACTGTGATGTACATTAAAAGGGCATAGACACAGTTGAAGTTTACATGCCTTCAAATTTTTGGTAGAAATTCATGATTTTTATGTTGCAAGAGCATATCAGATGGACAAAATTTAAAAGCAAGTTTAGAATCTTCCTTTATCTAGACATTATCATAACCTAGAATTTCTGATGCGTTTGATTGGCATATATCCTTGCACTTTCATACACTAATTTTTTTTCCTTCATACAGGTGAAATTTGGTATCTCGAACGTCATGCAAAGTCTTGAATTCAGTGGATATGTCTAAGTGATAAGGAAGTCCAAACTCCCTTTTCATTATCCATTTTAACCTTGATATTTCGAATCCTCAGATAATTCTAAGTTTTTTTTCTCAGTCCTTCCAAATTCAAGAATACGGAGTTGGAAATTTGTGGTGTTAAAAAATATTACAAGTATAATGTAGAAAAGTCAGAATAGAAACATAAGAAAGCAAAACCAACACATCAGTATTTTTTGTTCTTGTTCAGTGATTTGTGCTGTGTAAGCAAATTGAATACACTCATTAAACATAAACAATAACAGAGCTAAAGCCCATGTTTACAAACACAGGTGTTTGGTGCTGGCTAAGAAGAATGATTTGACATATTTTATTGCAATAAATATATATATATATATAGTAAAACACGCTTATGACTAAGTGCTAAGGACGAACAATTTTGATTCGTTATAAACCTAAGTTGTAATATCCATTACGTTCACAATATGCTTTTAAACCACAGGGAATGAAAATTACTTCGCTGTAAGCGTGAATTCATTACATGTATAAGCATGATTACTGTAATCTTGTTTTTTCTGCACAATGGAATTGGTCACAGGCTCTTAAAACTTAATTTGCCCTTTCCCTAGTTAAGAAGAATGATGTTGTCACATTGAAATTTTCACTTAAATTTCAAACCATTGAACTGAAGTTATTTTCAAAATGAATAGGGATTTTTATTCAAAATCATAAACATAAATATGGCTATGCCCCTTTAATTGTTGGTCAACATTATTCTGTTTTACAGGTCCTTGTGTTTAAAAGCTGTCATAAGAGTATCGTGTTCAGTTTCACTTCACCTCAAAGAATGATCAAGGTAAAAATAATTTCCTTATCCTCCCTCCCCCCAGCTATTTCTGTACTAGACAGGGACTGGTTTATCTTTATCAGATGAATAAAAAATGACATTTGCAGATTGATGAAAATTTGATGCATGTTTAGATGCTGTATTTGAGGATTGATTAGTGTGAGACTTGCTTGATGCCTTTGTGTTTTTAGTACTAAAATGCAAAAAAGTATTGCTTCAGAAGATTTGAAAAGAAATATCCCCCAAAAATGTTTTGGATCAATACTCTACTCTGAGTTGCACAATTTTAATAAGAATATATAGCATAAAATTAATGCTGTAGTGTTGTGCAAACCTTAGTGTATTAAAGAGTTCCCTTTCTTTATCCATTCTGAAATTCTACATGGTTAGTTTACTACTACAGCAAAATATTTTTTTTTTAAATTCAGCTAATAGTTCACATCAGTTTTGTCAGAAATCTTGACCGAGGGCCTATAATTTAGAATCAAATCACAATATTCTAAATGATTCTTTAAAGAAAAATTGTGTACATGTACATAAATCATAAATATATGTTCAAATATCAGGAAAAAATACAGAAGTCTTTTTTTTCATATTTATGATAAAGAAAAAAGTTCACTGCAGCACTGTATGATATTAAGAGCCACATCATAGTAAACAGCAGGCCGTAAATAAAAAGTCTGTAAATCTTTTACATCATTACAAAGTTTAAAACTACTAATATCAAACACAGATATTCAAATTGTTTCTCTGCTGTTAGTATGTAAAGAAAAGGAGACAACTGTGAACAAAAATGGAGTCCTGATTTACGTACCTGTATTTCACATCCCCTATCCCGCCATTCTTGTCTCAGCCAATCAATGCCATCTGAACATCTGCTGACCTGAGGACACCATTTACAATCAAACGAATCATCCTGAGTTAAACAAGTGTTACAGTCTTTGGCAATATTACAAGCTGTAAATAAAGGTAAAATAATATTTCATGAAATGACAATTGATAAGCGATATGTTTATATAAGTAAAACCAAAATACAGCACCGTACAACTTGGTGTAGAGCAAAGGCATCGGAAGAAAACTGAATGGCAGAGGGGGCTAATTCAACAAAAACAAAAACAAGAGGCCCATGGGCCACATCGCTCACCTGAGTAACTTTGGCCATGCTGTTCTTTACCAGATTCCCCCCCCCCCCTCCTTGTAAAATTATTGTGGCCCCGCCCTACCCCGGGGGGTCCTGTTTGAACAATTTAGAATTTACACTACCCAAAGATGCTTCCACATAAGTTTCAGCTTTTCTGGTCCAGTGGTTCTTGAGAAGAAGATTTTTCAAGATTTTTCCTATGTATTTAAATGTAAAACTTGGATTCCCTATTGTGGCCCCGCCCTACCCCCGGGGGTCATGATTTTAACAATTTAAAATCTACACTACCCAAGGATGCTTCCACATAAGTTTCAGCTTTTCTGGCCCAGTGGTTCTTGAGAAGAAGATTTTTCAAGATTTTTCCTATATATTTCAATGTAAAACTTGGATTCCCTATTGTGGCCCCGCCCTACCCCCGGGGGTCATGATTTTAACAATTTAGAATCTAAACTACCCAAGGATTCTTCCACATAAGTTTCAGCTTTTCTGGCCCAGTGGTTCTTGAGAAGAAGATTTTTCAAGATTTTTCCTATATATTTCAATGTAAAACTTGGATTCCCTATTGTGGCCCTGCCCTACCCCCGGGGGTCATGATTTTAACAATTTAGAATCTACACTACCCAAGGATGCTTCCACATAAGTTTCAGCTTTTCTGGTCCAGTGGTTCTTGAGAAGAAGATTTTTCAAGATTTATTCCTCTATATGTCAATGTAAAACTTGGATTCCCTATTGTGGCCCCGCCCTACCCCCGGGGGTCATGATTTTTTCAACTTAGAATCTACACTACCCCAGGATGCTTCCACAGAAGTTTCAACTTTTCTGGCCCAGTGGATCTTGAGAAGAAGATTTTTTAATGACCCCACCCTATTTTTGTCTTTTCTTGATTATCTCCCCTTGTAAGGGGACTTGGCCCTTTATCTTAACAATTTAAACTCCCCTTCACCCAGGGATACTTTGTACCAAGTTTGGTTAAAATTGGCCCAGTGGTTCTTGAGAAGAAGTTGAAAATGTGAAAAGTTTACAGACGGACGGACGGACAGACGGACGGACGACGGACAACGGGTGATCAGAAAAGCTCACTTGAGCTTTCAGCTCAGGTGAGCTAAAAACGTTTGGGAGGCTAAGCCCCAAATTTCAATGCCTATATTATGTCTATCTTTGCAAAAAAAGTGGGGGGGGGGGGGGGTAATCCCTATGTAGTGTATACTTTTTTATTCAATTTTTATTGAAATTGGACTTGAGCCTTCAGAGGAGTTGAGTTTTGAAAGAAGTTGACAGAGATTTCTGATTTTAATAACCATGGTTCAGTTACACCATTCATCAAAATCAAAAACTGGACAGAGAATTATGTTCCTAAGTGTAGCCTCTAAATTCGTGTACCAAATTTTCATGAAAGTGGACAAAACCTATAGGAAGAGCAGCATTCAGAATTTCACAAAATTTTATATTTTTAGTAAAAATGGCAACACTATTTGTCCAAATCAAAATCTGTCATAAAGAATTGTATTTTTTAGTGTAGTCCATATGTGTCTTTGACTTGACTTATTCCTGTTTGCTCCTTGGGGAGCATGGGGCCACAGTCCATATGTGTACCAAGTTCTATTGAAATCAGTCCAAACTGTAGGATTAGCATTTTGAAAAATGGTTTATTGATGGAGAGACAGATGGCAGTATGGACAATAGATATGTATGTTACCTTCCCTATATACTCTTCTGGACTTAAACCAATAAAGAAAATGCCTTTTTTTTAGGTACAAGAAATTTCTTTTTAATGGATACTGGGCTTGCAGTCTTTCCAGATATATGCCTCTAGCAGGAATATAGTGTGTAACATTTATTTTTTTATGTCTATTCTCATAGAATGGTCTTCTATCCAACCCAACTCAGACTCTTTCTCCATTTTGCTACAGTTTTTGACATTTTCCAGAATTAAGATATGTTTTTTTTACATGTTCAACAGTGAAATACTATGATTTATTTATTGAATAAAAGATAGAAAATATCCTCTCATAGAGTGAAAGGATACCAAAGTGATATTCTCTCACAGTGTGAGAGGATAGCAAAGTAAGTAAAAAATAATTTCTGGTCTGTCATAAGACAAGATACAATGTAGAGATAGTAACTAAACCATCTTGATAGAGACTAAAACTGCCAATTTCTTCCCAAATATGTTGCTAAAATCCATATTACAATGTTTTCAATCTCGCTAGGCTATGACATCTAAACCGCTCAACTATGACGTCACTGCCTAATGGCACTGTGTTAAGAAAAGACAGAGGCAAAGGGAAAAACAGAAAAAAATGTAATAAACAGAAAATTCAATGTTTTGTAGTTGGACATGGAATTTATTTCACTCATGAGACAGGATTTTTTTTTTATATTTTCACTTGTGCTTCGCACTCATGAAAATACAAAAAAATTCCTGTCCCACTCGTGAAATAGAATCCATATCCAACTACAAAACATCGAATATCCTCTATATATTCTTCAAACTGTAGGTTTCTTAAGAATCACAGTCTAGAAATTTTGCTGGAAAATTAAAATTGTGTCCAAACTGAGGGCAAAGTTTTTTTTTCCAGCAAAATTTAATCTTAAACAATCCCATGGTTGAAAAATTTCTACTCTGCAAAAGCATCATATAGGGACATTATGTACATGTAGGCACATTGTGATGTCACACCAGTGAGTTTTAATATACAGCTGAACTTCCATATCTCGAACACTGATATCTTGAATACCATGGATATGTCAAAGTGATTTGGAAGTCCCAACCACTTATTCCTTCAATATTTTACCCTTGATATCTTGAATCCTCTCATATCTCAAGTTTTCCTCGTTTCTATGGTCTTTGGGCTAACAAGGTTTGACTATATATCAAACATTAATCTCAATCATTAGTGTTAATCAAATGTAGACTGCCCTAAAGCTTCTCCCGTACTCATGCTGCTTGTCCACTTACTTGCTAATGGTTCCAATATAACCACCGATTGAGAACGTACACGCTTAAAGTCAACTTCCACTCGATGATACTCATATATTGTTCTTCTCTGTACACCTTAAAAACAAATTCATTAACTCAGCAAATAGTTCTTTGATAATGACCTTCTTAATTTAGTGAAGTGCAACTCACAACTTAATTACTTAAGTGTCTTTAAAAAGTATAATCAACATAGTCCAACTTCAGTACATTGAATATCTCAAATACCATGGATATGTCTAAGTGAGTTGTTTTTCTTTGTGCATATCAAACCTCCATATCTCAAATCCTCTAATATATCTCTAAGTATCTGCTTAGCTGTCAAGTTCTAGATATCAAGGTTTTACTGTATATGTTAATATCCTTCTCAAATTATACTTTAATTTACTCTGTTGCTTTGATCTTAACTGGCCCCCTGGAGATTTGTTGCACATAGAACTCATTGCTTAAACTTTTTCCTAGCATTGTTATCAGTGCATAAATCTCTTAGTGTGAGGAAGCTAGGAACTCCTTAAACAAATGAAACCATACATCTTAATTGATCACATGACTAGTATTTACTACACTTCCTTACTGTAACTCTCAATTTAACTTACCAGGTACAAACAGGAATATATGTTTGATATAATTATCATGCCACACATCACAAAAAAAAAATTACTCCATTGTAGCAAGCACTTAATACAGATGCTTCTATTTTTTCCCCTCCTATTAACTATTGATGAAAATAACCATGCTTAAAGCTTAACTTCAAATATCTGATGAGAAAATCTTTCAAGACTTCTGCACATATGTATTACAAACTAAACTAAGTGGATATCAATTAAAACTTGGGAAAAAATATATATTTAAGCGCTGGATTTTTCTGAACAAAGTGTACTGTACATAACTGTGAATTTAAAAAACTTATACAACTGAGAACTCTTTTCAGAATACGAACAGCATGCCTAAAACTACTATTCAGAAAACACATAGGACATAGACATACTAGCTGAACTAAATCTGTATTTATAATGCAACCTGCAGTCTGTACAACCTCCATTTACACAAAATGACTTCCAATATTGTGATAATATTGTCAATACCTATCAAACATGCCTTTGGAACCCATCAATATAGTGGTAATGATATTGTTTTGTCTGGATATTTGTCAGACTTTATAGAAGTTATTGATTAGCTTATTGCTTTAGGTATGCCTGAACCACAATAAATATACATTAAATTATGTTTTTGGTTTTTTTTTTTTAAAGAATTTACTCACTGAAAATCAAATTCATTCATAATTTGTGAGTCATCTTTCACCATATCAAGTTTCATTGACTGCAGTCTGTGTTAACTTCATGTTCACAATAAGAACTTTCTCAGTAAAGACATGCAGTACCGTATGGGCTTACCTGGAAAATTTTCTGGAAAGAGGCATTAATTTTGTGAATCTTAATTTTCATTGCTTACCTGAGTTTCAGAATTTGTAGGAAAGAAACAAGGAACAGTATACAAACAATCTTACATGCAGCCATGCATGATTATACCTAAACTGTTAATAATGCTTAGTGCACAAACAAAATGTACAAGACACCATTTTCTTTTTCCATCTTTTACAGTAAAATTCACTTTAACAAGAAATTGTCTAATAAGTTTGTAATGGTTAAAGGCTGAGTTCAGGGTCAAGATTATGAAGGTCAGGGCCAGGACAAGATGCGCATAATTTCCATGGCAACAGTGTTACCTTCGTTGGTATCAGAGTATCGATGGTGAGACTCATTTTTACTTTTTACTACAAGAACAGAAGGATGCATGTTGAAAAGGATAAAAGCTTTATGCATAATGTCACACAGAACAATACATACAAGTCCTAGAGAAAGAGTCGCTGAATCTTGTAAGAAAATAACAGTAGAGAAGCTTCTTAAAGGGGCCTGGACACAGCTGCATTGCCATTTTGTTTACAATTTTAAATTTATACATTTTTATTAAAAAAAAATACTTCAGTTTAATAAATTGACCTTGCACGAAAATTTTAAAACTTTAATGACAACGCCATTCTTCATAACATCATGTCAAACATCTGTTTTTGTAAAAATGAGCACAAGCTCTGTTATTGTTAATGTATATGTTTTACTGGGTGTGTTCGATTTGTTTACCCTGCACACATCAATGAAAAAAGACTGATGATACTGGTGAGTTGGTTTTGCTTTCTCACATTTCTTTTCTGAATTTTCTGGATTAGAGTTTTAATATTTTTTCATTAATACACACCAGATTTTCACTTTTCTTAAATATCTATGATAAAGTTTACTTCCTGAAATTGCAAGGATGTGTGTCAGTCAAACGTGTCCCGAATTTTTAGTTTTAATAACATACAAGTCTTGATATTATACTAAAAATTTGAGAAAATATTGACTTCAAATCAGCTGTGTCCAAGCCCCTTTAACAATCAAAACAGCTGATTTACATGACAAGAATTGAGACATATACCCAACATAAAATATGTTTTCAGGTAAAAAGTATACATAAATCTCGAAGCAGACATGAGGTGTACTGAGCTTTTGACCTAGCATGGTGTTATGCTGGTGGTGTTATGGTTTTTCTGGCAAAGGGGGTGTTTTACTGGCAAATATATATTTTATTTACATGTTTAAGTGGTCATTCGCCAGCCTGAAATGGGTTGTAAAAATGTAATGATATAATACCTTCTTATCAGTACACTCTTTGCTGGAATTAAAATCACATAAAAAAACTCAAGAGGACTAAATAAATCAGAAAAAGTGAAGAGGGTTTCTTTAAGGGAATGTAATTAACAGAATTTCATGAAAGTGTTTATATTTTCTTTAAAAGATAAGTGTATCCTGTTGAATGATGTTATTGCAAATTATACTTGTTTTTTCTTCTTGCAAGCAATTAATTCTGTTTTTTCACACAAAATGAAAATAAAATTGCTGAGAATGTCAAAAGAAAAAATATTGATGAAGGTAAAGGTTTCTAATGATGACAAAATCAATATGATAAAGTCACAGCAAGAAAAAAATATATGTATCACTGATATTCCCTAAAGACCTTTCAACCAATTATAACATTGGAGGGCTCTTTATTGAATAAATATTTTGCTTGTGAAATATGAACAGAGCTGAGAGCATTACCTCCTTGTATTGTGTCGATGTAGAAAGCGTCAGACACACCCACTTTCACAGGGTGATTTTTCACTTCAATATTAAATACCTCGACAGGTACCTACAATATATAATACATAGATATACAACATATAGATACTTCATAGCTAGGGTTGGATACCTGTACTCAATGCTTTCACCTCTAGGTTTCATTCTTATTTATAACAGTATCCAATCTTTTTTGTAGAATACATTACTCCTCCAGTGTACACGATTCCATTCAGCTTGAGATAAGAAAACTTTTTTATTAAGCTTCAAGAAACTTTCAGAAATACAATATTTATTCTTAAAATATGGACTTTGGGGCATAAAAATGTTTCTGAATGAACAGGTCTCTTGATTTTCTCCAAAATTTCTTATGAAAAAACAAGTTATTTAATAGGTAAGATGCAACATTAGAAACAGGTCTGGTTGTGTGCATCCCTAATTATGCACATCTATGCAAATTTGGACTAGGTAAGGTTTGCAGCAGCTTGGGAATACATCTACTCCAAAATCTTTAACTGTTCAATCTTTTGAAAAAATAGATAAGATTTTGGAGCAATGTCTGGTAGTGGGCATCCCTTGATGCAAAAGTCATAAAAGTTTACATCAGGTAGGGTTTATTGTTAATTTGAAAGAGACCTTCTCCAAAAACTTTGACCTAGTCACTCAACAAGAAGATGTAGGTTAGATCCAGTATCCAAAGCAAGTCTGGTATTGTGCATCCGTAGAATTCATCATCCATGACACTTTGGTCAATATAGGGCTTATAGTGACTAAGAAATGGATCTGCTTCATAAACTTTAACCTGTTCATGCAATCATTCAGAAAATGTAGCATAGATGTTGCATGAAAAGCAATGTCTGGTTGTGTGCTTTCATGCAAGTTTGGACAGGGTAGTGCTTGTTAGTTACCATACTTTAGAATGGACCTTAAGCCTGGTCACTCATCCAGAAAAATGTAAGTCAGAAGCACCAGTAAAAGCAAGTCTTAGCTGCCTTATCAATGCAAATTATGTCCAGGTAGGGAGTATGGTTACTTGGCAATGGGCTTGCTTCTAAAGCTTTAACAATGGGAGTATAGCATAAACTCGTCTTAACTTCAATCAGATGAGCGCAAAAGAAGAAAAAGCAATTTTATACTTGTTCAGCCATTTACCAAGTAACTTCATTCAATAAATCTTTAAACAAGCTGTTATGTGTGTCAAGCATGCAAAAGAAGCATAAAGGATAGAGGTATTTGGACTCTCCTACACTCAGTAATGGTTCTTCAAAGGAAGCCATTCTTTTCTGGACACTAGTCTTGTGTACTGTACTAGATTCAAGACATTGAGTTTAGCTAATTATATCTTTTAGGAGAAGCTACAGTACACACAGGGCAATGACTAATTAGAGGAACCAATAATTGGAGAAAATGAATCAATTGTGTCTCACTCTATCAATCTGTGGTAAGAAATGGTACCCTGACAGCAGAGGAAATCAGGATTATAGTATGAAAGGAGTGGATGTTCTAAAATCACAATTTCTGTCTTGGTAACAATGATGAACAAAAGTAAAATACTGTTAGAACCCCCCCCCCCCCCCTTTACCTCTGTTTTAAGAAATTTGTGCGTGTTTGTGCCAATAACCTGCTTTAAAGCTACAGTGCAATTTGCATAATCATTCTGAGTACTCCAGAATTTTGTCAATTCACTTTTAAATTTTAGTCCCATGCACTTCTTTCACAAGTGCATCATTAAAAATTCTGTGTGGTCCAGATACTGTCTATTCTGTATTCCTAATGGCCATATTGGTCCCAACTACTCATAATCAACAGAAATGATTTCCTCTAATCTGGCCACACCATATGACCTGAGTCATCTCAATACAATTAACACCTTTCATGATAGATGGGCTACTTAAGTGACTCCGTAATTATCGAAAGATATAATCATTTAATTATATTTTGCCAACATATGCATTGTACTTGTTGATAAAACAACGAAAATTTCAAATATTTTCCTGCATTCCGAATTCTGTCTAATCTGGCCAATTTTTATGGAGTGGGTGGTATCCGGTTTGGACAAATTACGCTGGCATTTTTTTTTCAAATGAATGTTATCAAGTTCTATCTTGAAACACACTTCAGACATTACATTGCCTTTATGAAATCCAAATAGAACTTTTAAGGACAAAGTAATTGCTATTCTGAATTTAATTTTATTAAATTGCAATTAAATACTCGCGTAACAAACTTATTCAAGTAAATTAAATGGAACTTGATTTAAAATACATGTACTTACGTCTCTGTATGCAAAATATATGGTTCCATTACTATGAAGTGTTGTTTGGAATGAAAAAGGATTGGCTGCAAAAAAAAAAAAATAAAATAAATTAATTAAATTGTACACCTGTTTTACTATATGATTTTAGCACTTTTTTTCACAAAACAAAAGAAAGTACACTTCAATTTCAGTTTATTAGAAAAAATCAAATTAATTGATTTTAAGAAAAAGACAAACTTAAAGAGAGAAATGAATTAAAATTGTCACAGATCACGGACAAAGGAGCTTACTGTGATTTTGGTCTTGGAGGAAAACACGCTGCCATTCGACAACAAACTTATCACCTAAAATACAAAGAAAAGCCAATAGAAAAATGTGAAGAAAAAAAAACCTACTCAGTTAAGATGGTATAACATACTTGATATAGCAAGCCTTCGTGGTTGGAAAACGGAAATTATTATCTTGGTGTTTGGACATTTAAATATACATGAATAAGTAAATTTGCAAAACAATCAAAAAAATAAACATAAAAATCATAACCCCCCAAAAAGTACATAAATAAACAAGAAGTCTGTGAGCCAATGCTCACTAATAATACCCCCGCTCTGATGTGAATACACAAGTTCAGTTATGGACAAACACAGTGATAACCAGGAAATTGACATCGGATTTGTAAAAACTGAATCCCAACATATGGCATGCCTAAACAAAGAAAAAATTTCAAGCATCTGCGATGAGTAGTTGCTGAGAAAACTACGACCAAAATTTATTATGTATGGTACGGACAGACGCATGGATAAACAGGAAGTTGACATCGGATTTGTTCCAAAAATGAATCCCAACATATGGCATGCCTAAACAAAGAAAAAATTTCAAGCATCTGCGATGAGTAGTTGCTGAGAAAACTACGACCAAAATTTATTATGTATGGTACGGACAGACGCACGGATAAACAGGAAGTTGACATCGGATTAGTACAAAAATGAATCCCACCATATGGCATGCCTAAACAAAGAGTGTGTTAAAATTTCAAGCACCTGTGATGAGTAGTTGCTGAGAAAACTGCGACCAAAGTTTGTTATGTGTGATACGGACAGACGCACGGATAAACAGGAAGTTGACATCGGATTCATACAAAAATGAATCCCACCATATGGCATGCCTAAACAAAGATTGTGCTAAAATTTCAAGCATCTGCGATGAGTAGTTGCTGAGAAAACTACGACCAAAATTTTTTATGTATGGTACGGACAAACGCACGGATAAACAGGAAGTTGACATCGAATTCATACAAAAATGAATCCCACCATATGGCATGGCTAAACAAAGAGTGTGTTAAAATTTCAAGCACCACTGATGAGTAGTTGCTGAGAAAACTGCGACCAAAGTTTGTTACGGACAGACAGACAGACAGACGGACAGACAGACAGACGGACAGACAGACAGACACACAAGGGTAAAACAGTATACCCCCCTCTCCTTCGGAGCGGGGGTATAAATATATTCTAAATTCTCTTATTAATTACTAAGTCTTATATTACCTAAATTGGTGCATGATATCTAGATAAGACAAGAGGCCCATGGGCCTTAAGGGTCACCTCAGTTTCACAAGGTTATTGTTCTGTTTACTACATACATATTTCCCTCTAGTCCTTGAGAACACCACTATTTCTCCACTTGGTCAAATGGGCAAGAACTTCATGTCATTGTATTTGCCATATTGTGATTAATCTCAGAAACTTTGCTTTTTATATTTTTTTTTAGTAACAACTATTATAGTCCTTGGTGGTCAAAATTTAACCAGCATTACATCTTCAAGGCTTCTGCCAGGTTTTGCAATTGAACATTAAACTGTTAACATTGTTAACAGAAGCAATAGCTACAATGCTAGGGTTTTATTTTTCAATTTAAATATCTTCCTTTTCCATTGTTTATACTAAGCCCTTGGTAGAAGTTGGTCTCTGATATTTCTTGGAAACTATACCCCAGGTAATTACATATCCAGATTCTCTCAAGGTATCTACAGAATCGAAATTAAATATCCTGATTTACTGCCTTTCTCCCAGAACTTCCTTCTGAAATCCCCCATGTCGAGTTACCACGATTACAAATGTTGACAAGATTGGGGAAAATTACATAATCAATACTCAAATCTTAGCACTAATCAACATTATTCTTTGAAAAATCTGATGTAACATTTTCCTGTAAAAAGAGTTCAATTTAAACATCCATTTTGCATGACCTATCCCATTAAGGTTGTCTTGGACAAAATGGATCATTTTCCTACCTTCCTGCATAAAAGAACTCTTTTCCTACTTCTAAATCATAATTCCCTTTTAATGACAGCTACACAACAGTAATGATTGTCAATATCTGTTTTTTAACGATACTAAGGCATTATCTTTTTGGTTTGTTCCCATTTTGCACACATTTGAATTTCAGGTATTGAAAAAATGTGTTCAAAATGGGAATTTGTCCAGGAAAGATAATTACTTAATTGCTATAGTCTATATCATAGTTGTGAATTTGGATAATGAGATTCTATGGAATGAATAGAAAGAAAAAAAATGTTAATTTTGCATTTGATATTTGATTTATTTCTTTAATTTCATAAAAAGAACTTATTTAATATTTTAAAACATAAAAAAATATCATAAATACAATAATTATATTCACTTGATACTAACTGGACAAGTAATCAAATCAAATGTGTGCAAAACGGGAACACACCATCTTTTTATGCTACTTCACATAATTATAATATTTTTTTTAACAATAGAATCACTCATAAATTTTGTCCTTGTTCATTTTTGTCTTAATTACTTTTTCTGAAGCATTTTTGTTTTTCATTTTTTTAATCAATTTTGTTTTAATCATTTCTCCTTTTTAGCTCTGCTCTAACCAACATTATTTTCACCAGAAAAAGTAATACAGTTACTGTATGTTTTTCATATATAAATTCTGAAATCCGCACTACATCTTTATGCAGAAGTAAAATACCCCACAAATCTAGACATGAGCTCAATATCTCAACTATAATATTGATGTTTTTATTGAAATAATATAAATATAAATAATATATTGGGAAAAATTTTATCATCTAGTATTTCATTAATACATAACATTCAACAGAGTTGGTATTTCAGTCTGTATTTCACGACAATTAAGTGATTTATCTGTAACATATAGCTTTAAAAAAACTCTGACCACAGGCAATTCTATTTTTGCCCTTCAGGACATATGCAACATAGTTTTGAACTTTAATTTGTTATTTCCTGTATAATTTAATTAAGGTCTTCCGTTTTCATGGAAGACCTTATAGTGATTCTACTGTTTCTTATTATTATTATTATTATTATTATTATTATTTTGACCAAATTTTGTGCAGGCGTTTTCTCGAAAACTATTCAGTGGTTTTTCGTGAAACTTTCAGGAAAAATTAGTCATTTTATGAACTTGTTTCATCACAAGGAAAATTTGGAAAATTCCATTTTGGTTCCAAGTTACGGGCAATTTCCTGATTTTAAAATGAAATTTTGTCCTCGAGTGTTCTCAAGAATGACTAAAGATATGAACTGGAGACTTATTGGAGAGCATAGATCATGACTTCTAAATTTGTGGAATCGCATTTTCGTTCGTCGTCGGCACTTCCGGTCGTTTACGGAAGTGATCAAAGAAATCATAAAATTTCAACTTTCTTTTTTTAAATCAATACTTACATCACATTATTGCATCTCTTTTGTAGTTTCCAAATATGTTGGTCCCACCGGAAACAAAAACGTTAACTTCCGGTTATAAGAGAAAAACTACATAATTTTAGTATTTTTCTTTCCCATTAATATCCTTTGTAGATAAAGTATTTGAAATGAATTTTAAATATGTTATTCAAACTGCAGATATCTAGAGTAACATCAAATATCTTTGTAAAATTCACTTCCGGTCGCGTGTTTTTTTGTCCTCAAAATGAGAAGTTCTCTGAGCAAGATCTCGGAAACGGCGAGAGATTAAGACACCAAACTTATATGAGCAACAGACCTTAAGATGTAGGCAAAACCATTTGGGTTCAGAGCGTCAGCCGTCACTTCCGGTCGTCACAGGAAGTGATCAAAGAAATCGAAAATTTCAACTTTTCTTTTTTTAATTAAAAATTGCATCACTTTATTGCATCTTTTTCGCAGATTCGAAAGATGTTGGTCTCACCGGAAACAAAAGTGACAACTTCCGGTTATAAGAGAAAAACTACATAATTTGAGTATTTTACTTTTCCATCAATATTTTTTCTAGAAAAAGTATTTGAAATGAATTTTAAATATGTTATTCAGACTGCAAATGTCTAGAGTAATCGTAAATATCTTTCAAAAATTCACTTCCGGTCGCATGTTTTCCTGTCCTCAAAATGTGGAGTTGTCTGAGCGAGATCTCAAAACCAGGTAAAAGATTAAAACACCAAACTTTTATGAGTAATAGACCTTGAGGAGTAGGCAAAACCATTTGGGTGAAACGCGTCAGTCGTCACTTCCGCTTGTCACAGTAAGTGATCAAAGAAATCTAAAAAAAATTAACTTTTCTTTTTTAAATTAATGCTTGCATCACTTTATTGCATCTCTTTTGCTGTTTGGAAATATGTTAGATTCCACCGGAAACAAAAACGTCAACTTCCGGTTTAAGGAGATAAACTACTTTACTTTGATATTTAACTTTCTCATAAATATTGCTCATCGATAAAGTACTTGAAATGACTTTATGTATGTTGTATATACTGCAAATGTCTAGAGAAAAGTCAAAGATTTTTTATAAAATTCACTTCCGGTCTCGTGTTTACCTGTCCTCAAAATTAGAATTTGATCTCACAATATTGCTCGGCAACAGTAAACGACTGAAGTCTAAAACTTTCAGGACTGATGGTCAGTCATCAGTTATATGAATCGTGAGAAAATCTTGTATCACCGTTACTTCCGGTACTTCCGGTCGTGACCGGAAGTGATGTAAAAAATGAATGGTTAACGTTAGCAAGTTGGATTTTCACGCTGACGACCAGGGTTAAATTTCCAGAGTGTCTGAATTTCTTTTATCTCTTTTTCAGCTTGAATTTTCGTTTTTATTTACAGAATCGGACGGAAGACCTCTCATTGCTCGCAATGAGTTTCTAGTTGTTCTAATAATTGAAGGACCTTTATGTGATTTTATGATGCCTGGTAATGCTGTACACCTCCTCCAAATTAAATTCACAGGAAATCAACCAGCAAAATCTATATATACCTCTGTCAATTTTAATGATTTTGAACAAAGAATTTCTTGGAAAATTATCAGTGGGAAAAGTATATTGTAGAGTACATGTCCATGTATGTCGCACATGTCCTAAATGCTGATTTTTTGAAACCCATATCATTTTACACCTTTCATTATTTAGTAACTACCGTATAAGCAGAAATTTTAGCAAGGATTTAATTTTGGCATTTTTAGCGAGGGAGTTGAGATCGCTAAAATTAAATATCGATAACAATTTATTCCGCATTAGATGTAACCATTATCTTTCTATGCACCATAGAATCGCTAAAATTACTCCTCCCTAAAATTGAATACTGATTTTTAATGACAAATCACTCTATTTGCGTCTCGTTAAAAATTCCACTTATACGGTATCTAGGACCTTTATACTCTGCATCTCATAACAAAAAGTATTGTCTATAATGTACTATAATTGAATTCTCACTGGTATTTAAAAGTATCTAGAATACCATGGATATGTCAAGTAAGGTGGAATTTTAAGTCATAACATTTTTTATGTATTTTAACCTTGATTTCTTGAGTCCTTTGATATCTTAATTTTTTTTCTTTGGCCTAGTGAGTTCAAGATATTGAGATTTGACTGTATTTGCAAGTTTAAGCATATATACCCTCTGGCTGGATAATCTGTGTGAGAGCATTTGTTAATTACAAAATGAAGATCTGTATTTTTATTGTTATTAATAAGATCAAATTATTAAGAAGGGTATGATACAGATTTTGTATTCTGACTTTGAAATAAAAGAATATCAAAATGCTTCGGTCTGAAATCATACATTAATGCATGCAATAAATTGTTTAAATTCATTAAATACATTGAAAAAAACCCAAAAAATCTAAAAATTAATTGACATACTCTGCAAAGTACACATTTAATTAGATTAAGGATTTTATCCTGGGAATTATGAAAACACCCAAACTGTCTGTGTAAACATTCTATTACCAATCAAGATCTTAAGCTTCTAAAAAATCAGTATCTGGACGGCTCCGTTTATTACCATCAATATCCATTCCGTCACAGATATACAAATTTGACGATGATCTATATTGAAAGGGTCTATGGATTGGCTCTATTCCATTCTTTTTGATGACGGGCTATGATAGTTCTTGAGCCGCTAGCCAAATTTTCAATTATACAGACACCATTAACTCAGTCTTAGCATATAGACACACCAGTATGAGAATCTCACAGAGCCTGGCATTTCATTTAACAAGTGACTGTATTGGCTTTACTTTTACATTTCAATTTAGGCCTATATATGTGACTGTTAGTTCTGATAATTTTCTATAACAATATGCTGCAACATTTTAAAATGCTTCAAGAAATTACTTTAAGTAGATAGAGGAAAAATTTGGTGTGCACCTTGCATTTTGGAAAAAATATAACATACTATTCAAGCATTTGAAAAAAAAACTTTTTTCACTATATTTTGAGATGTATACATGCCTGATAAAACAGAAATATGAGGATTTAACACAACTGCAACCTTTAGACCATATATCATTCAATATAATGAAACTCTTGTTGCAATTTGTATAATGAAAACCATCATTACTGCACTTTTTGTAGGACAACTTAATTTTTTCTTTTTGAAAATCTCAACAAAATAACATATTTGTATCTATTTTCGTTGATTGCTTTTAAAATGAGAAATATGATAGGTGACAGACACAATATAAGGTGAAAATTGCCATAGCATTTCACAATATTCGTATAATTATTGCTCTTCCGCTCCTGAGTATATTAATTTTGTCTCCAACATTTTCATTACCCATCATGCCACTTCCAAATCATTAGCAGACATGACCAGCTTTCGCAAATTCATCAATCCTAATTTCTCTTAAGAACTGCAGAACATTAAGAAGAGATGTAAAATCCTTTTCATCACAAATTACCTGGAAATCTGAGCAAGATTCACATTTCCTCTATTCTAGCAATTTTATGGTTTTAATTCTCTTATCTCCTTGTGTCAAACAAAATTACTTAACGGGGATTGAATACAAAATTCCCTTACTGAAGGATTACTGAAGTGACTCGAGCAACCATATAAATTCCTGCAATGCTTGCATCACTAAACTTATCATTTAGTATCTAAACTGATATTTAGCCCCAAGAAAGTTGAGTGCTTACTAGATTTGCCTCATTGCCTGATAATGATTACATGTCAAAGAGGTTGGTGTTAATTTCTTAATGGACCAAAACGTTTTAGATCTTCATAGTTTGTGCTTAAATTGAAGTATTATGTACAGCCAGTGTCAAAATAGATGCAGTGCATCTCTCCCCTTACTTAAAAGTTCTTTTTTCCATGGGGTCATTATTCCATGGAATCACAATTTCTGTTCAATCCACTGGTAGAAAATTACACAGAATTATTAAATTGCCTCTACATGCCTTAAATGTACTATCAGTACGCTAGGACAAATTTCAATGGAAAACTTGTGGCAGCGTACATAGCGTACTAAATATCCTGAACTTCTACCAATAATATAAATATTATATATATACTGTATACATTTAATTTATTTGGCCTTTACATATTCAGTTTTGCAGGCCAGTGGGTTTTTATAGAAGACTTGGACATCACTGATCAGTTCGTACCAGGGGCTGCATGGACCTAACTTACCAAAATCTTTATAGAGAATAATGGAATCGTTATTCATTGAGGTATCAAAGTTTGCCATCAATGGTGCTATGTATTGTGTGGCAGTCAGCCATTGGTGCAGAAATGGACTCATGTAAAGGAAACCTGGAATTAAAAGCAGAAATGTTCATCATCTGATAAAATATAGCTACATATCCTCATTATTAAACCTGCTTCCGCAGCATACAACACAAAACAATGAACTCCATGTCTCTTGTCTATCTACTTTGGTTATTTGATCTCCGTACGGATTGATTATGCATCCTCTTGCTTTTACTTCTCAGGAAAGAATATCACTCATGTATGGGTAACTTAATTTTGATACTTAATTTGTAAGTGCTTTTACCCTTGTATTTAGATAAGACCCATCAATAATTTAGTTATGTTCCAATATTGAATTTCATAAAGCACTTAGCATGCTTTTTAGGACTTTGAGGATATAATTCTAATTCATCAGCATAGCAATCCTTCCCCCACTGTGAATTAGTACATGTTACCCCACATCAGTCAGTAGACTGAGTGCTTAAACATGTACACAGTCAGGGATGCCCAAAAATTCCTTTTATTTTGATCATGAATAAGTAAATGTCTTAAAATCAATTTAGTAATAATTTTCATTTTAGAATTCTTTAATAACCAATATTTTCTCCAAAGATCATTTTTTATAAATAAAAAGTCAGGAAATCTAAGTTATTCTATCTAAACAAAAAAACCACTATAAGCAAGACCCTCATAAGCCAGTTTTACTGTACTTTGCTATGTTTCTGCAAGTTTTCCATAACAGTCCCTAAATATTTCAAGAAAGTTAATAGTTACCTCCAGTGGCTATGGTGACTTTTGAAACTTCATGACCATAAAATTTGAATTTAAAGTTGATTGGTACACTCTGAAAATAAAGAAATATTAAAACTCTCATAATTTTTAACATTTAATAAGCTACATGTCTTAAGTTAAATTTGACTCATTACTTTACACAGGAACTCAACTCTGATTGAGGCCTTAAACAAATCTGTTCAACTTTTCAGACTCAAATCTAACTCATGACTTGACACAACCACTTAATCTTTGGTAAATCTGACAAAGAAGATTTACTTACTATATTCACTTTCTGATAGACTCATAGATGTAACTTTCTACCATTTCTAAACATCTTTATTATTCTTCAAAATTCAATTGTTACAGGAAAAAAACATAGGTAATCAGAGATTACAGAGCTCACCTCAACGAATGTTGTCTTTAAGTAAGGCAAAGTCCCACACTAAACTAATAATCTAGGAGTGTGCATCCCTAGATGCAACATTTATGCAATTTTGGTCTGATAAGGCTTGCAGTTACTTGGGAATAGACTTATCTGAAACCTTAAAAATAGTCACTCATCCAGAAAATGTAAGTCAAATCCAGCATCCAAAGCAAGTTTTGAGATTGTTCGTCCCTTGATGCATCATCCATGCAAGTTGGTTCAGTTAGGCCTTATAGTTACTTGGAAATGAGATCTGCTCCAAAAACTTTAACCTGGTCACTCATCCGGAAAATGTAAGTCAAATCCAGCATCCCAAGCAAGTCCAGTAGTGTGCATCCTTAGATGTATCATCCATGCAAGTTTAGTCAATATAGGGTTTATAGTTACTTGGAAATGACATCTGCTCCAAAAACTTTAACCTGGTCACTCATCCGGAAAATTAAGCTCAGATCCAGCATCCGAAGCAAGTCCAGTAGTGTGGATCCTTAGATGTATCATCCATGCAAGTTTAGTCAATATAGGGTTTATAGTTACTTGGAAATGAGATCTACTCCATAAACTTTAATCTGGTCACTCATCCGGAAAATATAGCTCAGATCCAGCATCCGAAGCAAGTCCAGTAGTGTGCATCCTTAGAGGTATCATCCATGCAAGTTTGGTCAATATAGGGTTTATAGATACTTGGAAATGACATCTGTTCCAAAAAGTTTAACCTGGTCACTCATCCATAAAATATAGGTCAGATCCAGCATCCGAAGCAAGTCCAGTAGTGTGCATCCTTAGATGTATCATCCATGCAAGTTTGGTCAATATAGGACTTATAGTTACTTGGAAATGAGACCTGCTCCAAAAACTTTAACCTGCTCCAAAAACTTTAACCTGCTCCAAAAACATTAACCTGGTCATTCTTTAGCTGAAATTGCAGCATCTGAAACCTTGACTGGTACAATAAAACACACTAGAAGCATCCTCCATGCATCTCTGACTAATATAGGCCATAGAAGTACTTGAAAAGAAAACTGCTCCAAAAACCTTAACCTGGGACGCCGACACCGACTCCGACGGTATTACATAAGCTCCCCCAACTTCGTTGAGGTGAGCTAAAGAACCATTTAAATACTTAAGTCTGACTAATGTTTATTTACAACAGTAACTTAAATAAGACTTATTGGTTTAAACATTACTTTTTTTTTTACCATTATCAGTAGGTTTACTTATTTATGTACTAATGTCATTTTAGTCTACAATAGCAAACACTAACCAAAGTCACTTAAGTTCAATTCACTTTCTTACCACAGTCACTTGAATTTGACATAACTACTAGTTACTTGAATCTGACTTAAGTACTGACCACAATCATTTGAATCTGACTTAATTACTGACCAAGGTCATTTGAGTCTGACTTATTTTACCAAAGTCACCTGTATCTAATTTATTTACTTATCACAAACACTTAAGTCTGGATTAACTAACTGAAGTCACTTGAGTCTGGCCTATTTTACCACAATCACTTGGGTCTGACTTATTTACTTTTCCAACTTACTTAAGTCTGAGTTAACAAAATAGAGTCACCTAAGTCTGACTTAATTGACCTTAGTTCCTTGGATCTGACTTATTTACTTTCCGAAATTACTTAACTCTGGCTTACTTTTTTTCTATAGTCACTTCAGATTTGATTTTATATATTTACCACGGCTACTCTATGACTCCCTGATAATGGTTCACTTTGTTTGACATTGTAAAGCTCTGTTAATTCAGTACATGTACTTAGACTTGATTTTATATACTTACCACGGCTACTCTATGACTCCCTGATAATGGTTCACTTTGTTTGACATTGTAAAGCTCTGTCCAGTACTTAAACTTGATTTTATATACTTACCACGGCTACTCTATGACTCCCTGATAATGGTTCACTATGTTTGACATTGTAAAGCTCTGTTAATTCAGTACATGTACTTAGACTTGATTTTATATATTTACCACGGCTACTCTATGACTCCCTGATAATGGTTCACTTTGTTTGACATTGTAAAGCTCTGTTAATTCAGTACATGTACTTAGACTTGATTTTATATACTTATCACGGCTACTCTATGACTCCCTGATAATGGTTCACTTTGTTTGACATTGTAAAGCTCTGTCCAGTACTTAAACTTGATTTTATATACTTACCACGGCTACCCTATGACTCCCTGATAATGGTTCACTATGTTTGACATCGTAAAGCTCTGTCCAGTATTTAGGGAATTCAGCAGTTGTAGTTATTATCTTGGAGGTGTAATATTTATGATGTTGGCTAAGCTACAAAGAATGTTGTCAAATTATCACATAGTTATTCACATTTCTGTAAGCTTTAACAAGTAATTTGTGAACGGATGGAAAAATTCAGCTGGAGCAATGTTCTACACATTGAAAACACAGTTATAAATAACTAAGATTAAGTACAAAGGAGCAGTGATGATTCTGTGAATTGGAAAAAAATATCTGAAATAGTTTTGGGGTCTAGGGGCTAGCAAAACATTGGCTTTAGCAAACCCAAAGTAAGCTTAAATGAGTGACGAAAATTGAAGTGTGACAGTTTTTTCAACAACTTTTACATCCTGACCTGGCTGAATGAACTGCCACACCATTGTAATGAAGTCTGAATCATCCCTATGTTTGTGTTTACCTTACTTGGAGATAAAAGCAAACGTCTGGATGATGCAGACTAGATGAAACACGTACGAAACAATTTGAATTTTTTACCCGTACAAAAACGGAAAAGGATCGCTGTAAAAAAAAAAAAAAGAAAGTACTGAAATATTGGAAAACACTTGAAAATATCGGATTCTTGGATTCAAATTAGCGGAATTCCAATAAATATCGGAACAGAATCATCACTGAAAGGAGCCAAGGTCATCCGGATGTCAAAAATCCGGACACTTCACCTTCTGGACATAATTTATGGGGATCAGAATTAATTCTTATATGTGGTGCACTAATTATAAAAGGTCTGTTTCAGTAATCTGAATGCTTCAGTAATCAATGAATGATTTACTTTGGAATACAGTTGTCTGGATTAACCAGGCTCTACTATACCCAGTAAAAACTGCTTCTGTTGCTTAACATGTGAAAAGTCGCACAGATATTAATCTACTTCTAACAAACAGAAATAAAGAGGCAACCTAGTATATAAACTATATACTAAACTCTAGCAATGTCTCATTATAATCCACTCAAATGCTGCAATGTTTTTTTTTCTAAGGACAATTTAGATACACATGTTTTTTCTTTAATAAAAAACTAAACAATGTTAAATAGCATTTTAATCACATCTGAAGCAGTACAGATCTGATCCAAAAATGGGGTAAATTTCTTGAACATGGGTAAAAGATCATGTTAAAATCAGATCAGTCTGTTAATGATAGGCCACATCTAACAATGTCTGTCCTCTATTTAAAAACATTCAATGCAGATATAACTGTCTTCAGACTTCCTGTGATAACCACAACTACACAGTTCTATAATCATAATGAACAAAAAAGAAACCAGTGAATTAAAATCCTAAAACACAGCATCCATACATTGGTTAGATGTTGATTTATGTCGAGAATAATAAAACAGTCGTGGTCTGATCTGTGGTGAAAAATAAAATGTAATGTGGAATACATTATCATACAATATTCTACATTTCATATCGTTTTAATAATTAACATTAATTAATTAAATCTTAGGTTTAGTTATACACATTTTTAAAATTCCAATTTCATGGAACTGTAACGTTATGGAGAAGTGAATTATTTCACCGACATTGTTGGATGCTTCTAGAAATACTGTCTCCTTGCAAAAATATATGATAAATTGTTTCTTTTTCCTTGTAGTAAATGCCACACTGTGACAACATAATACATAAAAAAAAAACCCCAGTAAATTATACCATAAATCAGTGTATAGAACAATTGGTACTTATATACCATACTAGAATATAAAGAACACATGGTAAGATACTGACTACACCACAGTGTGCAGAATAAGTGATAAATTTTAAATATGTACTGCACCACAGTATACAAAATAAGTGATTGGCATGATATATATATCTATAACCATGATATATACTATGGTATAGCATATAATCTACCACTTGTTCTATATACAGAGGCTCGTGCATTTGTACAGCCAACTCGTGCCAATATTCACCAAATGAATATAAGTTCGATAACCCTAAAATATCATGATATTTATACAAGCAATTTTTAAAATGATAATTAAATGAATATTTTTCTGAAAAATAAGCTGAAAAAACATAACTTTGCTTTTTTCATTTTTTATTTACATAATCAAGCAATTTTGAATGCTAGTATGCCGTTCTATTACCGTTTTCAAATTTTTTACACTTCCTGTAATTGTAATTTGAAAGATTGAATAAATAAATGAACGATTTCTGGAATTATAACTATGTACCTAAATACCAATTTTTAATCTCTGTATCACGATATGTATCACACAATTAAAAATCACGATATATTAGTATACCGATAAAATCGCACATCCCTAACAGTTGGGTATATAATAAATATATCTACCACTTGTTCTGTGAACTGTGGGGTAGTATATATCTACCACTTGCTCTAAATACTGTGAGGTAGTATATATCTACCACTTGCTCTAAATACTGTAAGGTAATGTATATCTACCACTTGCTCTAAATACTGTGAGGTAGTGTATATCTATCACTTGCTCTAAATACTGTGAGGTAGTATATATCTACCACTTGTTCTGTAAACCGTGAGGTAGTGTATATCTATCACTTGCTCTAAATACTGTGAGGTAGTATATATCTACCACTTGCTCTAAATACTGTGAGGTAGTATATATCTACCACTTGCTCTAAATACTGTAAGGTAATGTATATCTACCACTTGCTCTAAATACTGTGAGGTAGTGTATATCTATCACTTGCTCTAAATACTGTGAGGTAGTATATATCTACCACTTGTTCTGTAAACTGTGAGGTAGTGTATATCTATCACTTGCTCTAAATACTGTGAGGTAGTATATATCTACCACTTGCTCTAATTACTGTGAGGTAGTATATATCTACCACTTGCTCTAAATACTGTAAGGTACTGTATATCTACCACTTGCTCTAAATACTGTGAGGTAGTATATATCTACCACTTGGTCTAAATACTTTGAGGTAGTATATATCTACCATTTGTTTTATTTATCCCTACCTTTTGTTCGGTATAATTAGGTGTGGTGGTCGGTTCCTTTGTGGTGGTCGGTAGTGGTGTTGTGGGACTTTTTATTGTAGTGGTGGCTGACTGTGTTGTAGAGCCGCTGCTATTACCACTCTGTCTTTTGTATAGGTTATGGTGTTGTCCAAACGATATCACAGAATCTAAGTCTGGCTCACTGTTATACAGACTGTAGGCTACTCCTACAAAATATATATAATAGCTTGTCTTTTTAATCTTTAAAATATATGCTTTTCTCATTGCCTGAAATTAAAGGCATAGAACTGTAAATCACTTTTTTTTTGCGAGAACTTTATTGTTGTGTAATTACAGTACATGTACATAAATTGGGGTATTCAAAATTTAGCACAATCACTGGGTAGTGGGTATGGAGTTGTTGGCGAAATCATAAATAAGCGATATACATGTCCGTGCCTAAAATTGTATTAATAAATAATTTCTTAGCGGTATTCATGTATTAGCGCTTCGTTGTCTGCACCAAAGCCGCTAAAATATGAAGCCTGCTTTTTAAAGTACACATGCAGTATGTTAGACTGTTTGCTTGTGGAAATTCATTCTCACATATATCTTTATTGTTAATGATTATATACAACAATAACCACATTTCATGAAAATTTTGTCTTGCTTACAAATACCACATACTGTAAACCAACTTTTATTCGTGTGCCAGAAATATCCCCAAGTTTTGCAACTACTCTAACTCATGAATATAATTAAAAGCTGCTAACCATTTATTTTGCTTTGTGTTTGTAGTGAATATTTCCTCAGACGCAAAAATTAATCATCGTAGATTGATTTCAAACTGAAGAATCTCGAATAAAAGATGATGCGAATAATAGTTGGTTTACAGTAGCTATCTCGCAAGAATAAGGTGTCACAAAAATATGGTGATCTACAGTATAGCACTCTGTTTAAAAATGTATTCTTGTTTCTTAATGTGTTAATTAAATCACAATGGCTATAGTCTTGAAAAGTACTTCTAGATGGAGTTTAGGAGTCAAGAGTGGTGTAAATAATGATATAAAACTCTCAAGAGACACCAAAATTCTAAATGCACTTTTTTTTGTTCTTCAGTCAAAATACCGGTATTAAAATAACAGAAAGATAGCTGACTCAGTATAGCAATATACTCCTTCATAAATATATATCCAAATTTAAAGCATATGTCATGCTAATATGATGTTTAATTATTACATCATTTAATGAATTATATTATTCTCCAGAACATGAACTTAAAACCACAATTATGACGTAATCCATAAATTTATTTTAAAGGAACTTTTATATGTATCGTCTGATCTTTAGAAAAAAAATGGTGATGTTTTTGGACCACTCAATCAAATTCTGCTCTGATCATATACAAAACAATAACAAATGTTTTAGGGCATTTAGTCACTTATATGTTTAAAATAATGTTCCTTATGTTTCACAGAACAAGATGTTAATGTTTTAGGGGTTGACAGTTTTTCAAAATTCCAAATAAAATTCAGGAAAATCTTCAAGGTTTTTTTTTTTTTTTTTTTTTACCTTTTTTTGTGGAAACATTACTCAATTTACATTTTATTATAATTTAAATGTGATGCTTCAACTCATCACACTTTGTGCCTCCAAATGAAATATATGCAGATTTTTATGACTTTTAAAACAGCTACTTAAGCCAGGTACGGACTTCAAATTTTACATTGTAAAAAAGAAATTAATTTTCTAAATTTCCTTGAAATAATATCACCTGTTTTTTGCCTTGCTCAGCAAAATTTACTCAACATTGTTGAATTAAATTCAGTGGTTGAAGACGTTACTCATAATTTATGCCAAAAATGTCACTTAAGTTATTTCATAGTTCTCCAATTTAGAGGTCATTTATTATCAGAATTGTAAAGCCTTATGATGAAACAGAGGCTTTTACCATTAGATCTTGCAATAGCCTGAGAGAAAATTTGCATCTAAATTTGATGAAGCATTTCTTTTTTTTAAGTTCTAAAGAATTACGAATTTAGGTGCTAATTGTCCCAAGTTTTATTCAACCAGTCTTAAAGACCAAAAATGAACAAAGTATAGACTTTTGAAAGAATCTAACAGGATAAATTATCTTCTTATTTAAACTATGGTCATAGTGTTCATTGAAATCAAAAATCAATAAATTGAATTCATGCATCTTGATAATTGTCTCCCGCTTTCACAAAAGTGAGGAGACATTAAATCTCATTCATCTGTCAATCTTTCTGCCTGTCCGTCTGTCTGTCTGACATTAAGACAGGGCTTTCATATTTTACATGTATATTACCTGTGAAGACCTTTCCAAATATACTATGATTTTTGACCCCTTGACCTTGAAGTTTGACCTACTTCTCAATAATTTTAAAATATTACTTTTACCTTTCTCATAACTATTGAATTTGGAAAGATAAGGCATTCATATTTGAAAGTGCACTACCTGTGACAAGATGTTTCTAAATGTGCTATGATATTTCACCATATGACCTTGGCCTTCAAGTTTGACCTAATTTTTAAAAGTTGTTGTCATTACTGCAAATTTTAGAAGGAGAGAAGAGAAGGCATTCATATTTGATGTGTGCACTACCTGTGACAAGACGTTTCCAAATCAAATGTACTATGATTTTCAGCCCCATGACCTTGACCTTGAAGTTTAACCTAATTAAAAAAAAAACATTGCTGATAACTTTTGAATGAGAAAAGATTGGGCATTTATATTTGACATGTGCATTACCTGTTTCACTACCTTTCTGAATGCAATCTGGATTTTGACCTTGTGACATTGACCTTCAAGTTTTACCTACAGTCTTTTTCATCTTTTTTACATTGTAATAACTGATTGTGAGATGATAGGGCTTTCAAATTTAGCATGTACATGTACATTACATATGAGAGCACCTTTCAGAAAGGTATATCACTTAAACTTCATGACCTTGACCTAGTACAAGTTTGAAGGACTCACAATCAAAACATTTACAAATTATGCCATAAATAATGGCATTCCAACCACTAAGACACCGAAAGCGGGGGACCATAATTCTTTGAATTTGCTAATGTTCAGCATGTTTAGTTTTTCCTAATCAGATGTGTAGGATGATAAACTTTCTTGAAAAAAAAAAACCCAGACAGATGGACAGGGCACAGTCTTTATCCTTGCATGAACATTAAATTTGTTTCTCTATAATCAGTAGAACTAATATTGACACTAAGTAAATTCCAGCTTAAGAAAAGACTCCACAAAATAAAGGCCTACATGTATATTTATGTATACATTAGTTAAAGATAAAACTGGCTAAAATATGCTAAAGGCTAACCTTAGGTTTACAGTAGTGCACTTGGTGTTTAATACACCAATTTACACATAAATATTTACATAAGGCTCTCATTACAATAAAATTTGAATCCTACAGGGTTTTCACTTCAAATTTTGTATGCATTGCAAGATAGAATTTCTGAAACTTCATCACAATACTTGCATGTATGCATGTATACATATTTCGGCCCATACATGTATGTTATGTTTTTTTCTTTCTTTCAAGATTGTGCACATAAATTAGATAATTATTAATATACAAATGTTGACTGGGGTTGAAGTACACATAGATTATGTTACAGTTAGCACCAAAGAGATGAAATACTGCCGGATGCAGAGCAGAGGGCAATATTTTCGTCACAAGGAGACTAACATAATCTGTGAATGTTGCCCTATAACATGGGCAATAATTGTTTTGTTATATGAAAACCAAAACAAATCAATAAAATAGCATTTTGTTTTGAATAATCAATAAACAATAATCAGTTATTGTTTTATGCCAAATCGTTGTTTTAATGAAAAAAGATCTATTCCCTATGCATTATCTGCAATTTGCTTGTAGACTACATTCTGAGCTAGGATATCCTGCCATGACTGCGTTGTTTTTTTCTTTATTGCGATCAAACAATAACATCAAGTCTTTAATACATGTTTTTTGGAAGTCACAACGGTATCATTTCGTCACAATAAATCAGTCTACAAATCAGAATCAAAATCATTAAAAATGAGAGAAAAACTCTCTTTGCTGGTCAACAGTAAAAATAAATGGCCATCAATATTTTTTGGAGGAACTAGATTATCAATTATGTTGACCGTTTCTTTTTATAGAGAATATAGAGACTTAATTCTTTCCTGAATATAACAATGCAATATATAATAGTTTTATTGCAATATGAGAAAGTTTGGGTTTGCAAGTAACATAAAATTAATGATTCACAGGGAGAAAAAAATCATAAAACTGTCTTTTCATAAAAACCCTTCAAATCAGACTGACGTGCATTTTTTAAAGTGTGTGCGTGTGTTTGTTTTTAATTAATTCAGCTCACATAGGTGTCCTAAATGTGTTTTGTACATAATTATAACTAATGATAATAATAATCAAAGCTTATAAATACAATTCTTCCATCGCAAATATGAACAACAGAAGTTTATAAATGTTCTTTTTTTCTGTCACTGAAATAGTTTAATTACAATATTGCAACGGAAATTTCCGACATCAATTTTAGTTGCAGCTCATATTGCTTTAAGTATATTAAGCAACAGTGACAGCTCTTCAGGAATACTTTGTTGTCTTTTAATGGGTTTTTTTTTCTGGTAAATGCCTAGTATTCTGTGTTGAAAATGAAATATTTACACCTTTATACAATATAATTTTCTCCATGTCCAAAAAAAAATCTCCATTTTTCATTAGTGTATACAGGGTCTTTGAATGTCAAATAATCTGTGTGGTCAAAACTAAACCTTTTGAACATAAAAATATTTGCATAAATGTCTGATCCTATGACTCCCCACTGCATCATGTAAAAAAAATTATATGGTATGTTGAACGTTAGACTCAGGTGAAACGCGCCTCTTTAATTAAGTGATGTATGAATTAACGGCCAACAGCAGACTAATTTCAGACATGTACCTATTACATGTGACCATTCAAATTAATGGACACCATCAGAGAGTCCCCTAGGGTCTATTAGGTCAATGGGTCAATGGTCAAAGGTCAAACATCCCTGGACCTAACTCATCCTCAATTAATACATAAAACATCAGATAGAACTTCTAAAATATAACAAGTACTCCCTATAAAAATATTCTGGATAAGTGGGCTTCTTCACCTTAGAACTTTGTATAAAAAAAATTTACAATTAAAAAAAAAAAGAA